CTTGATCAATGGAAGCAACTATCAATTAAATGAATTTTTACAATAACAAACTACACATATCTTTTATCGGAAACATGCAGAAACGGTATGCTTGACCTCTTACGTAACATGCTTCTACAATAATGGAGATTTACCGATGTCAGATTGTTTCATGATTTGTACGTTGTATTTTAAAAGCTTTGTTATGTTATCTGTTATTGATGTTGTCAAAATGTAAATATATAGCATTGTTATTTAGTAGCAATTATCCAGTTTAGCATCACGTATTAACAAAGCATATGGTGATTTCTTTTGAAATAATGTTTATGTACAAGTCCTAAACGGAACAAAAATATATCTGACAGTAGCAAGGTAATTGTTCAAATTTACAGAGGACAGCAAAACAAAGAGAAATGTATTCTAGATTAACGGCAAAACAAGATCGTAATATACATGTTTCCCATTTAAATTTCTTTATCGTTATTTGTAACTAAAACACATTGAATATTTCGTATGAATCAATTCATTCTCACAAATAATACTACAACAACAAAAAATGAAACAAACTACAGTATTATTTTAAATTGTACAAATCTTTATCGTTTCATTGTGAAGTATTCAGAGCACCTTCCTCTCCCGAGTTTCATACATGCCATTGATCCCTCTATTTTAGCATCCAACATTTACGTTGCAAAAATGACATCATAGACAATTTAATTTGTTTAATGGTAGAACAGCAAAGTCAGTTTGAATTAACAACTATTGTAATAGGAAAAAGTTTTGTTCAAACTATAAAAATTTATAATTCATAAATATGACATGTCTAAGATGAATTTGTACAAAAACATGATTAATACAATAAATTGTACACAAAAGAAACTGTCGCTAATATAATATCTTTATCATACTTTTCTAAATATTATTTGTATTTAAATGTTAAGAATTCTTACCAGATTTTTTTTATTCAATACTAGTGCTTAGTCCAGTGTTCAAAAATATTCTAAATCATGACACATTTTAGCAGGATACACTCTCCCATAAAATTGAACCTACGTGTTATTATTTGATCTTACAAATGATAACTTTACGTTTATAAATACATATGTAAAAGATCACCGCGGGAGTTAAAGGGACCGTTTACCAAAATTGGTATGTATAGATATTTTAGGAACAATTTAACAATTTACCTTTAACATGCTAATTATTGTGAACAAATACTTATAAATTTCGTACTTTAATTTGACCTTTTTATTTTTTTTTTATTCGAGCGTCGCTGATGACTCTTTTATGGATGAAACAAGCGACTGACGTACAAAGTTTTATCCTGGAATCTATGATAAGTTTATTAGTCATATTTCATATTGTTTCACATAATATTTCTATATACAAACTTGCTACATCAAATATAAACCGTTTTAAAGTAAACGGTGAATAGAGTACACAAATAGAATGCTCCGGTTTGCGAATAGAAGTGGGTGATATATAAACAATTTTAGACGTCACCGTGATTTTTCAAATCATAACACTACTAGATAATAAATCCAAACAAAATATCAGTATATCGAAATCTTCTATACCATTTACTGGTGGAATATATTTATCTGTGAGCAACTGGAGGTTATTGTTTTAATGTCTTGTACTCTACTCTTAACTAACAATAATATCAGTACCACAAAATGAAGTAGTCAAGGTACGATAACAATTGATCACATATGAGTAAAGCCTGTACAGGAGTTTATGATAATGCCTATATGATATGTGTCTCTTGAATTTAGAAAAATAGGATGATATGTATACACAAATATGTATTTCGTTGGTATCTATATTTCCTGCTCATATAAATTTATTTTAAATTGAGGAATGAATCTACTGCATGCAAACCTCCGAAGCCTTCGTTGAGTTTTGCTTACTTTTTTGTCCGATTTGGTTTATAGTTCTTTATTATTTTAAAAAGCTTTGTTTTTAAATATTTTGTCTTGAAGCATCACTTAAGATAAGAGACATTGATTGTCGAAATGCGCATCTGATGCAGAAAACATAGTACCGTTTATGTTTTTGATGTTAGATTGACCATAATGGTCGATTAAAAACAACACTTTACGACAAAGATAGATGTAATCAGCTTCCCAATTGTGAATATTCCATTGCTATGTAGCAACATTCCTGCATACGGAATTCATATCTCAAAGTTGAATCGATATTCCAGGGCTTGCATTTCCTATCATGAATTCCTTGATTGAGGCTTGCTGTTCACAAGTACGATATTAACCCAGATTTCCAAATAGTAAAGTTGAAAACATCACTTCGTAAGGTTTGCGGACGGCATTGCCTTTATAGAAAATCAGCTCCACAGATAATATAGGATATGTTCCCAATGTCGTCACTACAATCCCGTTCCTTTTCCTGAATTTTACTTACCGACTAAATCATTTTACAGGATTTGTACTAAATGAGCAATCCGACAGGTTCCACATGTCAAGCAGGATCTGCTTACCTTTCCGGAATACCTGAGATCCCCCAGTTTTTAATCGGGTTCGTGGCTCAGTCTTTAGTTTTCTATGTTGTGTATTGTGTACACTTGTTTGTTTGTTGGTCTTTTTTCTTTTATAGCCATGGCGTTGTCAGTTTCTTTTCGACTACTGAGTTTGGATGTCCCTCTAGTATAATTCGCCATTCTTTTACATTCAGAATTTTCGCTTAAACATGTTATAATCATAAATAGGTCAATTACCTTCGTTTCATTTAAGAATTCAATAAAAATGATATAAATAAGTTATAAGCATATCTTAATTGCCTTTGTAGACCAAGTGATGGGAATAAAATAATTTAACATGCATTATTGTTGGGTTTTCCTCTCTGTGAAATTATGAAAAAAAGTCTCAGAAAATTCGGCGTGTGTTAAGATGAATAAAGATTACCTTAATTACATCACACAAGTTTTACTGTTATTTGGTCATGTTTGCTTTTGAGAGATATAAATATGTTTGTATTTAAATGAAATTTACGAGTGAAACTATTTTGTGTAACAGATATCAAAACTTGAACATTAATTTAACGTTTGTTTGTATTAACTTATGAAATAAAAGTATTCTATTCTATTGTATAAAATTTGATACCAGTATCTTAATATAAATTATATTCTTAATTTACATTATCCTTTTCCTTCGCTTTTCGCTATAGAGATGCATAATTCAAGGTTTGTTACTATGTCGAACAAACCTATCATAACGAGCCTGAAATAAAGGACACATAAGATAAAGTTATGTCTGTCTCACATCTTCATATAAGCTAGAAACTGTCAAAGAGGGTATGTTGAAAGCAAAACATTTGAGCTTCGCAATAGTGAACTTTCCATTTATGTGAACCAAAATTCCAGCAGCGCCTGCATATATATATACTATGTATCTCAAAGTTTATACTATATTCCAGGGTTTGCATTTCCAATCATAATTTTCTTGGTGAAGGGTTGCTGCCGACAACGAAGCTACCAAACCAACAGTTCCAAGTTTAAATTATACCTTCGTAAATTATAAGGACGCTATCACGAGTAAGATGACAGTTATGAAATATTTGTTTCATATAAATGACAAAGGATATGTTTCAAAGGTTATAACCACAATATTATCCTATTTTCCCCGAATATGTCTTTAAAGGATGACGTTCAAATTCCAAACTATTTATGCGATCATTTTAAGAGACTGTTAGAATACATATCGAAAATATATGTTGTGGGAACAATGAGGTTAAAATATATATAAAATATGAAATGAAACGCTAGTTTTGTATAATTTATTGAGGGATACAAAGAAAAATCCTCGAACAAAAATTGTATATATACGTAAAGAATGACATCCCCTGGTGTTTTCTATTACCTTGGACCTCGATAATATTTTCCAATGAACGAAATATAGCACATAACATATTTGTCAAATCTCGGTATATATTATGCGATATGATATTGAACATTGAATTTAAAACATCTGACGTATCTCATCTTAAAGAATAAAGACGTTAATTCTACTGAAAAAGACATAATGTACAAGATACAAGCTTATAGAGTTTTTGCTGTAAATTATATCAAGTTTACAACTATTCTTCGCAATATAAAATATATTTGTTCCGGAGTCAAACTTTAACATCAGATATTTTAAAAATTCTGTACGCTTCAAAATTTTATTAAATTTGACAAAAAGAAGATTTAGAGATTAAAAAAGTAAGTGTATTGTATATTATTGAAGAAATCACATATGTCCGTTGCCAAAAACGAAATGTACATTGTGAACATTGTCTTAAACCTTGAAAGTTGCCAATAACCTAACGATAAGCCAATGGAAATGTTGTAAATTCGTCTCATAATGCAGGAAAACCAATCAAATCAACTCAGTTCTTCTATTAATATTTATCATCACATATCGTGAGGTATGACATGAGAAATATCTCTGCACGCAAGAAATAGATAAGAGATAACATGCCACAACCATCATAGAAAATTTAGTGTATATTCTGTAAAACAAATCGTATTTGTTTTAGTGAAACTTGATTAATGATACTTTAGTGTAAACAATAACGTTACGATCTGTATCAGCTGAATTTTCTTAAAAAATAATTATATAGCAATGCAGTGAAAATTGATTTATTATGTAAGGTTAAAATGGCATAAACTGTACTTCTTACAAATTACATGTATAACACATGACTTGTAAATTTAATTCATTCATTGACACGTTATACGGTATTGTTAACCTTTGGTGTCACCACATAGTATTGATCAATTGATTTATTGCCGATTGTATTTCCCTTTTTAAGTATGAAAGATATTTAAATAGGCTAAAGAATTATATATATGTTTTCCATATTCTTAACTGAAAAACCTTTTGGTATAATAAGTTAGATTTCCTTCATTACAAAATGCTAACGTAGATGCAAGTTTTGTTTTAAATAAGCTGTTTATAAAATAACTTAATATTTAAAACAATAAAAGAAAATAGCTAATGTAGATACAACTAAGTGTTTTTAGTTGGTATGCGACATACCTAAGGATTTTTTTTGAAGTTTGAACGAAGCTGTTCCTTAAAAAAACTCATTCAAATTTGCTTTATTAATCGCATTTATTTGCAAAAATTGAAACAAAACGACTCTGTATTTAACTCAAAATTCATGGTTCTGCATATATTGTTAGTCAAAATGCGAACAAACAAATATTTAAAAAAACAACAAATATTTAAAAAGTCCTCCGATTTGCTGTTCAACGTCATGTTCATTGATATCACGAAGGACTTATGATTCCATCCTTGTCAATGATATGTTTTTGTATGAGGGATTACCTGAGTGCTCATTTATTTCTAATTCTTTTATGAGACACTCGTAGTAGTAGTAGTACACACAAAAACAAATCTATTTGAAGATTTGTCTGCAATACACTTATTGTAGAGAGATGATAGATATTTCACAACTTCTTTGTCTCTGAAACGATCGTAGAAAATTGTCGAGGTTATAAAACAATGAGATTATTGACATCCTAAAAAATATTGGTCAGATAGCAAAGATGAAATTGTAGTACATTTTAGATAGAGATAGAAATATGAAATAAATTAAGTGGTGTATTTAATGTGCTTTAATAAATAAAAAGGAATCAAAAGAAGAAAATATGTAAACTATCTTTTTATCTTATTGATCTCTACTAATAAAAATATGGAATTAAATAAGCAGAGAATAGCACTACTTGGTATGTATCTGTTTCAAAACATTCACAAGGAATGCATTATTCACTTACTTTATCAAATCAAATCCTACATTTATATTTTGGATATCTTCTAGTACCTGTTTCACGGATTTCCCTAGATTGGAAATCTATGCACGTCCTTTTCAACAAGTTAGTGATTCTTTCCGTTTCAATATGAAATGTATTAAAGTATTTTTCCGCAAATGAAGCAAATCTGTGTGGCTGTTTAAGTTATTTTTCTTTTAAAACAGGATATTCATATTCTTAAATTTATGACAAATACATTTTCATCCTTTTCATTTTAAAAAAATATAAACAAATACGAGTACATAATAAATCTAAAAAAAAACCCATTCAAATACAACCGACATCAGGGTGTATCATACTTACTGCATTTGTTCTTATAGTTTATCAACTAAATCATGACATCTTTGTTTTATTTTAAGTCAACCAAATCAATAAAGCCTCAATAAATAGTAAGAGTTAAAAGAATAGCAGAGTATCAGTTTTTCTGACGTCATTCATTACAGACAAGTGTTTTCGTAATTACGACTGTTGACATCAAGGTTTTGAATAAAGATAAAATCATCTTCACTATCACTATCGCTATGGTCTGACTGTACTACCCCTCTTTTCAGTGAATGATCTATTCCGGTGTAAATTGTTCTGTTTTCTATCCCATGAATTTTAGTTTGCAGTGAATCAACTGGCTTGATTAAAACCTCTGCATAGTGTAGACCTGGTGTGCATTCCTATGATAAATAAGTACACATATTTTAAAAACTACACAACACAATATGCATCATTTAAAATACATTAACTTACCGTTAACGCAAAGTATTTTACAGTGGGATGTCATTAAATAGTCATAAATAATAATCAACCCCTGTTAAGACTACGTTTTAAGACAAATTCCACATTGACATTATTTGTTTGTTTAAAGAATTATGTACATTTAGTAATATATCATTAATGAAAAAATAATAAGAATTCAAAAGCTTTCAACACAGGTGTTTCTCTCTAAACTTCCGAACTATTCTATTTAAGGAATGACTGTCTATGAAGAAATAACATAAAAAATGTGGTGCACACTAAATAAACCGCGAAGCGGGTTATTTTAAAGTGTGAACCACATTTTTGATGTTATTTCGAATAGACAGAACAAAAGTTACAGTCATTCCTTATAATTTAATTTTAAATTGCTTTTTAAACCGGAGTAATTATTAAAACACGTTGATGACGTCACAGTCACATGACAAAATTATCTCTATGAGCTGATAGACAAAACACTGTCAGCCAATTAGAAGACGCGTTACATTCAAAATTAAATTATTGAATTATGAAAAGTCTTAGGTGTAAAACCACCATTGATTTTCCCCTATTAGTCTTTGTTTAATTTGCATTTTTCAAAAAAATGTGCAGAATTCATCTTTGTTTCAAATAAAGAAATACTTGGCATGCGTAAAGTTATATCCTGTCTAATACTAAAGACACAATTTCCCACAGCATTTCATTGCATATAAGAAAAAAAAAACCCATCACTGTAAGTTAACTAATCAAATTGTCGATCCCTATTTTTCCTTATTTTTGAAACACCTAATATATATATTTATGACCAAGATTTTTTTTACTGAAATGAAATGTAGGATTTATTTCCTAGATTTGTCAAATTCAAGATAATGTTCTATTTTTTTATCCTTTTATCGAATGCAACCGGATGTGACACTATAATTTATTGGTATTACACCTAATATGACACATTTTCACGTCTATAAAAAGTCTGCAATTACATTCAATCCTCTGTGTTTCTATACCAGAACAAGGTATAATTAAAATCTGTTCAAATCTATACTGAAATGATAATGACTTATGCGTATTTTTTCGCGTAAAGTTTTTTATTGTTAAAACAGAAACAAAACTATGGAGTTTCTTGAGAATGATCGTTATCTTTTCGTTATTGATATACCAATTTTTGTATAAAAGGTATTACATGCAATGAAATAAATGAAATATGAACCTCGAATAAAAATATGTACAATTTGTAATTGTATAACAGAACCCTATAAATCTGCTAAACGAAAACATTTCATATTCTTGGATTCATGGTGTCTAGGCTGCGTTTGTGTGCGAACAATTGTCAAAAAGTAGTATATTAGTAGCTTTTATCTAAAGCTTAAATTTTAAAAACAGCAGGTAAGTAAGTTGCGTTCAATTACCTTAAATGAACAAATGTGCAGCACTCATTAACTGAACATATTTATAAAAAAGAGGAAATATTTTTGATAAGGAAATATTTACACACAGATATAAATAACCAAATTGCGTGTATTCACTTTTAAATACTTATATTTAGTTTGACCTTACCAGGAAATGTTAAAGTTCATTGTTTGATTCATTTGTCATGTGCTATTAAAAAATAAGTACAAGAACTGACTTAAATTGATTCCTTATATAAAAGATTCATAACTTTTTTTTATTAGACTTCTTTAACACACGATCCTCTACATTCTAATGTTCAAATGATCGTCTAAAAAACATATTTCAACCTTTATCACAAACTAATGGATAATGTTAATACAATATATTATGGTTTAAGGAATGGATCAATAAGTCTTTGAAACTGAGTTTTGTAAGATGGTAAGTTTGACGACAGACATTCTGTAAGAAGCTATCGAAACACACATTGTAATCCTTTGCTGACTTGTTCCATAACTTATGAGGCCTAAAAAAGTTATGAGGGTGCTTCCCAGGAAAAATCCACATGTGCTTGTTTTCTCTTTAATTAACGGTTTGATAATGATCATATGTCTAAAAGTGATGCCATATGGCTAAGAGGCAGCTACCTTTTTACATAAAAAAAATAAAAAGGATGTAATCCCAGCATAAAACAAAAGTCTATACACATTCCAGTTCAAAATATTCAGTTTCCTATCATCGTTTTCTTGATAAGTGTTTGATTGCTGTTCTTTCCCAACGAGTACAGTACTACCTGTGACTTTATCTTATTAATGGTGGCCATAAAAACTATGTCAACCATGTTGGCCCTATATGTCCATCAATATCCCCCCTGTTGCTTAATTAATACTCAAGGTATAAATAAAAAACTAGTCAAGGATAAAGGGAATTCATGACTGCATTGAAGTGTTAAAATTATATAACTTACGGGTCAAGTGTCTCAGGTAAAACATATGTGTTTGTCAAATTTAATCATTGTTAATTACTGTGAGTATGACAAGAAAATTCTAAAAAAAAAAAAAATAATGAAACTAGTTGAACATATAGCGTAATAACATTTATTTTGAAAAAAATTGTCTCATGACTGTTTGTTTTGATGTTATACCTTTTAAATAATTCTATCAATTTAAGTTATTTTTACATGTATGTTTTGTTAAGTGAAGAATAAATGAATATCATCTTCTAATATAATGCAAACTTTCACAATGCCTGCCTTTTTCTATTGAAAAGGTGTTTCTCAAATTAATTTTCTAAAATCAAAATTGTTTATCTTAGAGAGACTGATCTGCATTCAACATTGTTTAACAAATGTTTAAGATTATCTTTAGGACTTATTCTAAATAAAATTTAGGAAATTTATTATTTTTCTATTGAATAAATATATTCAAAATATATTCATTACAGCAAAAGTTGATAATATTTTTATTGTCATACATGTATAAACTTATTATAATGAGTTTGTGATAAAAAAAACCAAAAACAAACATTAGAATGCAAAGAAATAATTCTAAACACATGGAAAAAAAATATTAGGTTTCTGCGCTCAGTTCTAATGACTATTTTATAAAGGAGGCAATATTTAAAACATGTTCCATGTTGAAGAGTTTAAGCATTTCTTTTACTTTTTGTTCTTGGGTAACATGGATAAGAGACATTACTATGAGAAGGTAAACAATTTTCAAATAGATTATCTCCAAGTTGTTTTGTTAATTTTAATTACAAGGAGGAAGTGTTCTTCATCGTCCAGCAAGTGGCACAGTTTACATATTCTATCCTTTCTAGGAAATTTACTTTTTGTCCTATCAAATGTGTGACTTTATGTCCGGTGACTTTTTGTCCTGTGACTTTCTGTCCGTCTACCATTTTATATTGTCCACTATTTTCTATTTCTAGATTATGACCACTAATTCTTTACTAACTGAAGCATTTGAGTTTACAGTTAAGTTTTCATCATAAGTTTTTATTCTATTTTCAAAAATATCTTTATATTTTTCTGTAAATTCATTTTTAATCAAGGGCTTTAAAGAGTCTAATTCATTCAAGTCCCTGCACAAAAAGTGATTTAATTAATAGACCATACAACTGTCACAATTTATTTATTTGGAGACAAATTTTGGCTGTTAACTGACAGAAATTAGCCAAACTGAAAATAACATGTTTGATAAGTTTACAATTGTTTCAAAAAACAAGACAATGTTTCTTTAGATAATTTCTTGTCATAAGATTCACGTTATTTTGAGAGATAAGAACATTTTGCATTATGATTGGAATTTGTAATGAGCATTTATCAAAATTTGATAACAAGGTGGGCATTTGGAAAATTTAAGTCTCTTCGGTGATTCGTCATGCACAACTCCTGTTTCGAGATTTGAAAAAAAATAATGATTAACAAAAATTGTTAATTCCTAAATTATATAACGATATTTGTAGTTTTCCTGAATAATAATAAAAAGTACAATTTTGTTATCAAAATTTATTGTAAAAGGATTGATATTGATCATTTTATTTTGTTAAGAAACAGGCTTGTTAAATTACTTGCTTCATGGGTCCTTCAAACATATCATTTGCACGATTATAAGTTATAATTCATTTCATAATTCAAACAAACAATTGAATACAACGTACATCATGTACAATAACTTTTTTATTACTTAAAAAAATAATTATTTAAAGGATTCTCTGTTTTGTTTTTGAAATGCTAGTCAATAACTTATCTTTGATTTTTTTTTCATTTCTACTCAAGATTATAACCAAGAAGAAATTAAAAGAATAAGAAACAAAAAACAAATAAAAAAAGACATACAAAAATGATTAAAAAAAACCCCCCAAAAACCATTAAAATAAAATAAAAATAAATAAATTTAAAGACAGAAAAATCAACAAATAATATAAATTATCAAAGATTAAAACAACATTGTATTCTACATTTAAAAAAAGGTGAAATTTCAATTTTAAAAGAAATCTGAGTTACCTGTACAGGTAAATTTTAATGAAACATACAAGCTGAAAACTTCAACCCTGATTGGTTTCAACAGGTAACATAATTAAATAAAAAATCAACTATGTTTTATGACCCCAATAAATGGCCAAAATCTCAAGATTAAATACCCCAATAAATGGTCACCATTTGATGTCGACGATACAAGAGAGTGGACATAATTAAGAGGATGTCCCAGGTTGTACTGTATGCTAATGTACTAAAAAGTGTACGGTGGGTCATTTTATGATAAGGACAAATAATAGCACTGAAAAAAGAGTGAATGCAAAGAGTTAACAAAAGCTTCATGAAATGCCAAAGATTACATTATTATCTATTAAGGGGTGAATTAATTAAAATCAATCATTATTGTAACTGGGAAGACAGTCCATTACATGTAATTTAACTGCACTTGACTCGTTTGTATTTCTTTCATTGCTGGTAGCACTTCTATACTCACAAACACCAAGATCTGAAAAGCAAAGTATGTTTTTACATGATCAGAATATTTTTGAAATCTTGATGAAAGTAAAGGAGATTTTTCATCACAACTTGAGTCAAAAAGATACAGTAACAGTCTGATTAACTTATTTTTCCTTCATCTAGTTAAAACGTTTATGTTGAGAAAACCTTACTGTTGACCTAAACACATATTGGCAATTTTACCAAAGAAGAGTAATATCATTCTACTCAAATATAAAAAAGGATAGAAAAGGGAGGATCAAACAAATGCATTTATGCTTTGCAGTGTTGAGCATTTTTGTTATTAAGAATGCCATTAATTAGTGATTTGTAGTTTGTCTCTAGGAAATCTATACAGTAATACATATTCAAGTAATGCCCTTCTGGCTAATAGATATATGAAGAGATTAAAAATAATTTGTCTGATGTACGATTATACGTTGGTAATACACAATGTGTTAGTAAATGCGCTAACAAAATCGATCTGAATGTACTTTTAATTTTGTTTTGAAATTAAATGTCGTATGAATAATTCAGAACTTTTACATCGATATGTTACGCCATGAAGTTATAGTTTCTCAGATTGCATATTCGATATGAAATGCATCACACGTTAATTTGTGATTCAATCAAAATTGCTTCTTAATCAACAGTTACATTGTGCCTTTGTCTATTTTGGAATAAAAAAATGAGAACCCTCTTCCCATAGAAATGTAAAACTTGTTTTTCGTTTTTAATAATATTGTTCAGTAAATTTTACAATTACCTGCATCATTAACATAAATGATTGGTTCGATATATTCTTGAACTGTTCTATCATGAAACGGCATTTCCGGTTCGGTTGAATTTTCATTTGGTGGAACATTTGAATTCTGGTACAACTGATTTTCTACAGTATTATCTTCTTCTGAAAATATTAAGATGATATAATGCAATAATGTGTGTTTTTATACACGATTGGTTTTAAAATTTTTGGCTATGAGCACGATGCGCGTTTCTAATGGAGGCAAGTTCAGTCGAGCTCATTTAACGGACAAAATGAAAAAGAGAGTCATTATAATTTACTTAAGCAAAGCTTTTTTATGATGTCTCTTTGTGCACAACCTACTTGTACATATTGTATCGTTGTATTCATTGTTCTACATAAGGAAATGTCTGTATCAACTCAGGAATATGACAGTTGTTTTCCGTTTGTTAGATGTGTTTGAGCTTTTAATTTTGCCAATTGTTTTCATGTTAGTTTACCTTTTATTTTGGTTAACGAAGGGAAGTCAGATTATGTTTTAATCTGTCTTTAATTAAAAAAACAATTAGGATTCAGATGTTTTATATGTTCAATTCAAATACCAAAAAAGAAAAATGAATGAAGTAACCAAGGAGGGAGGAGTAATGTACCTACTTTTTGTATTAACCAATAATGATCTATGTATTTTTAAGAATATGAGTAGATCAAAGCTCCTAGAGCAGATATTCTCAACGAGGTATTGCAGGCTTGTAAATAAAACAGATATTAGTCATTTGACAGTCCTAGTAAAGCCACTACGTTTTTGAAGATATTATGCAATGATGATGTTCAGATGATTGGAGGATGATCGATATTTGGATATCAGTAAACAAATGTCAACCAATTTGACGTTGGTACGATACATAATACGAAAGCAGAACTGAAAAAAAATTTGTGCTTCCAAAGCGATTTTCTTAATATGTATATCTTTACCATTGTTAGTTATCAGATGTCAAATTAGATTATATATAATCATGGAATTTGCACATGTGTTCACGTGATGTTTCTGTCTTTAATCCTGAATCTTTTATAAACAAGTGATCAAATATTTTTGTATTTAAGTTATATAGGATATACAGAAGACAACATGCATTACTATTTACCATTTATTTCTTCAGTTGTTGTATGGCTGAAATAGAAGTAGCATTTAAACTATATATCAATACATTCATATTGTTAACAATAACATAACAATAGTTTGTAACAGGTTCCAATTAAAATAAATCCGACTTGAAATATCTCTATAGCCAAAAAGAAGCAATTTAAGTGGATTCAAAAGTTTGTTTAAGGATATATTATGGTATCTACAATAATAGTTCGTTAAATTCTCATAACATTCAAACCATTTAATTAAGATTGACTATATATGTAATATTTGCTACATTTGTATATAACAAGAACCGTAAATTCAGTTGTTGCTTTTTATTATTATTATAATTATTCCTTTATTGTGATTTCACTTAAATTTGTTAGGTTGATCTACTTTTTTATCCAGTTAATTAAAAGGTTTTGACCTTGATATCACATATGATACCGATAAAAACAAATTTCACTTGTGTTTCGAGCTCAACACTTTTGATATTTGGCATCCGATAAATTTTTGTTATCTAACTTTTCGCTAGTGTTCCGGTATAATTGTCCAAGCAATTTTCATCAGTTTAATATTGCATTTTATTTGCTCTTCATTTTCTATATTTGATTTGACCTTACAATATGTTTTTATCATATCAATAGATTTATCATATGTAAATTTAATGCCTGTCTGGCGCACCAAAGTTTCCGTATGGTATCTATAACAACCATTGGTAGTAGCCCAGTAGTTAGTATTCTAGTCTTAATACGAACAATTATTGATACGATAATATTTTGTAAATTTGCTGATTATAAAATGTTGAATTATTTGCATCGTTAAGATTTAAACAATGGACACATTTCCATAACCGTTCAGATTTTCAGTTATGATTATCTTTAATTTCGGTTTTGATTGGACCACCACTAAAAATTCGTGGGTAGGCGAAACACGCGTATTTTAATATATATATATTGATATTTTTAATGAGTTTTTTAATTCACTGGGTCGGTAAATGTGATGATAAACGTTTTGTGTACCAGCACATTTTGTGTTGACATGACATATTATTGATACGGTTCTGTTTTAATGACAAATAACCCACTTAGCTGCAACAAGCATTTTTTTTTTATACAAAAAGAAAGCCCCGTTTATATAAACAAAATTGCATTTAGACTTTATATTGTTTGTCCATATAGGGGTATAACATGGTTAATTTTACAATGAAGAACTGAGAAAGTCGTATTATTCCCCGGCTTTTGGTTTGTTAAACATATGTTAAATGTAAAGTAGTTTTAGCAGAAAAAAAATGTGTTGTTTTTGTAATATATGTTAACAGTTTATGCTCAACCTTTAACGTCAGATAAATATTGAACATATATCAGTTTGTAATTTTTTCAGTTTTGCGTGTAAGAAAATTTCTACTTTCCAAACCTATAAGTTCCAGTTTTGTTATTTTTTTTCATATCACACTGTATGACTGGTGATGCATGCATAGCTGGATACATTTGTTTTGTAGACGCACCTACTATAACTCTATTTGAAACTGACTAGGCTCTGAATTTGTTAATCCAATCGTTTTTGTTCACTTTCATCACTAGCGATATTTCAAAGGACATCTGTATACTGCTGTTAAGTTCAAATTGAGGAAAAATGCAAATGTTTTGACTCACTGAAACAGCAGCTCTCTTCAGTTAAGATTTTTATATTTGTATGACTTCTTGATATTTTCATACAAGAACTACATATGTTTGAATGTTATAGTTTTCCAAGGTTCTTGCTTTATATTCATGTTGGAGTGAAACGTATTAATTTAATTAAATATATACATTGTACAAATTAAGGAGGCCACCGATCGGAGAACCAATAAACAATACAAAGCTACATTATTAGACGACTCGTTCTATTCTGACGATGCCTTATATGCTATAACGACGAGCGAAAATATGAAAATTACATCATAATTACAATAAACTGCACTATGTTTGAACAATAATGCAAAAATCAATATGCATTTTAACAATCAAAAGACCTAATCAACACATTTTTGTTAAAATATTGATCTATCATAAAATAGTTTACCTTTCTGTATCTCTTCGACATGACAAAAGAAAGGAACTCAACATTTCACCTAAAATACCGACTAGATATAATGTTTATGTAAGCACTATGAATACAACTCGAAATAATTTGTCCCAGTGGGAGAAAAAAGGCAGTATGTTTTACCTTTTCACAATAAAGAAAGTTTTGCCTTAACCAACATCTCCCTAGCTTTTAAGAAGATTAATTTCATTGTTTTTTCATAGTTTGAATCAAAAATGGTTGTCATTGTTTCTTAATTTTATTGAGATAATGGACGATCTTTGCATTGGTGTTGAGCATAATAATGTCTGCGTGTACATTTGTTAAACCTGGCCATCTCTTAGCTTCCGGTACACACGAGAGCTCTTGGGTTTTTGTAGGGTTCTTGTTGCATAGTATTTGTAAAGATGTCTATGAAGTGGCTTTTGACCTACATTTGCCCTTACGTTTTCAGTTTCTCTCTATTTTAATGTATATTTGGTATCGATTTGCTCGTTAGTCTATTATGCATCTTTTTTTTCTCTATTTGCCGACATTCAAAAGTGTAGGGTTGAGTACTTAGAAATCTCTAGCTTAAAATTACATGTAAATGGTTTGTCCGAAATACGGAACATCATCAGTGGTTTAGCAATAGTTGAATGTGTTATTTAGTTTTAGGAAATAGAGTATTCGTGTCAGATGTATCTGACAGATATATCCCTCTTTATCCCAAAATATTGTTTTAACTGTATTTTCTTACCAATAGTTATCCCTTTTTCTCTTGCTAGAAGTCCGATAATTGTGAAAGAACCTCCGATCAGCACAAGAGGTAAAAGTACAAGCAAAATTATAGAATTTTGTTCCTTGTTTCCTTGTTTACTTTTTGGAACTACAACAGATATAAATAAATGCAGATATATACATGAACAAAATGCTAAAGTAAAGATGGTCGGCAATAATAATCAATTTCATAATGTATTGTATTTAAGAATTGAATGTTTCTTTTTGTAAATTCATTGAGGTATAAAAGCGTTGACCGAACTACATTTTATATGAAATTACTATAAGAAGCATTCAAAACTGATAATTACATTTTTAGCTGATCATAAAACACGATTTCTATCAGAATGGTTTTACCTGTGCACTTGATTGCATTGGAGCTCGTGTCATCATGATGTAATATTTCATTTTAAATTGAAGGTTTATTTCAGAATGACGCGAGATGGCTGGAAGCCAATCAAAATAACGTTTTACAATGAAACATACATGACATGTAATTATATAAATATAAATTTGACCATTGCTGAAAGTAGTTTTGATATTTGTATTGGTTGTTAAAGTCAAGTGGTTTTACTGTACTTACATTGAAAATTGGTAGTCTGTACAAGCATTGGAGTACTTGATATGATCCCATAAATTTGAGTTGTATAACTTGTTGTAGTTGTTTCATTTTCTTTGTATTTGTCTTTAAGAAGCACATACAATTTGAAAAGTTAATTAATTAAATTAAGCTTTGATTCAATCACCAACGTCACATGTTCCTTATAAGATATCTCAATACAAGAAGCGAAAGTTACTAGATGGTCATTCAAACTTTTAAGTCCAAATTAAGATGACAACGCTATGGCTAAAAAAAACCAAAAGACAAACAATTGTACACACAACACAAAATAGCAAACTAGAGACAAAGCAATATGAACCACATCAAAAACTTCCACTTGCATCTGTGATTTTAACTTCACTATTTGGAACTATTGGTTTTAAAGCGTCCTTGTGAACAGCAACCTTCTATCAAGGAAATCATGTTGGGAAATACTAGCTCTGGGATATTGTATCAATTGGGAGTTTTAGACTCCGTGTGCAGGCGCTGTTGGAATGTTGATACATACAAATGGAAAGTTCACAATTTTGAAGCTGAAATCATCTTATTTGTCGTAAAGTTTTGTTTTCGACATACCTTAATTGTCATTTTCTAGATGTAAATTAAGATATTAGGCAAACTTAACTGTATCTGTTCTGATCTTTATCTAATGCTCGATGAGATAGATTCGTTCAACATAGTAACCAAACTTTGAATTGTTTATTAAGATAACATAATTTGCATAGCGGAAAGTGAAGTTAAATGATACTGCTAACTTCTTATCTTTTTTCTATGAAGTTCCTTTATGAAGTCATTCTCATAAGAATAAAGGAACAAGTCGGAAAGAAGAAAGGCACGCGTGATTTCTATGGAAATGCCGATTGTTTGTTGAAAAAACACGTTCTTCAAACGTAAGAATTATTTTGTCAATAAAAAAATTAAGTATCATGATAAAATCAGTTGCAGAGAATTTTTTTGTTTGAATCAAAATGATTTTTAACAAAATGGGATTTATTCCTCCATAAAGCAAGATACTTGTAGCGACTTTGGCCATTCTTTATCATGAAACAATGCAATACCTACTCTTTCAATTTGTTTTTTAGTTTGGAATGGGCAAAACTTGTGTTAAGTGTAGAAAAGTCAGATGCTTAAATACTACTGCAAGATGAAAGAGTTTTAGACTGAATGCACTCAAAAAGATCTTTGAATATTTTTAGTGGCCACGTCTGATTCACGCCACCTCTAAAATAGGTAGTTTCACAATAACTTCATAGCCCGGCTTTGACTTCTTATAAAAATGACTAAGAAAGAGGTTTCGTGGAGCACTTGAAAGACCCAGCAATACACCGTAACTAGCAATGATATTGTTTGACATTCCTCGTAATTGCTAATGTTGAATGGGAACAAGGCAAATGATCTCATGGATTATTTCCATTGGCTGTAAAACTCTTGAATTTTGCATTATCCATCCGACAATGCAAAATGTTTAGACATTCAGCCTTGTGATTTCAATAAGGGGACATTTAGTTGCATGACTCGTGTAGGGAGAGTGTCACCTCATATACAGGGTACCAATGTCTTGAATAAATTATGCAGTACAATGTAGGTTATATATGTTATTCAGTCAATAGATAAATATATACTCATCAAAACATTTAAAAACCATTACACGAAATAATTAAAACAGAAAGAACACTAAGTTCCCTATAAACGTACCTAATAAAGAGACGTTATATCTCGTCTCATGAAACAGTCCATCATTGCTAAATCTGCAGATATAACAACCAGTGTTTTCCTCCTGAAAATTTATTATAATCAGGTCATAGCCTCCTGCATTTCCTTGCAGTGAATATTTGGTTAGGTTCAGGTTTGGGTTCTTGTCATTATTTAAAAAGTAAATGTCATTTCCCTGTCCTGCATTGATGACATATGGTCCTAACCATGTCGCTTCTCCTTCAGAAATGGAACATTTCAAAACAAAAGTTCTGCCTTTTTGCACTTTCACCTTGATTGTTTCATTTCCAATTCCTGCGATTGAAGATAACACAAAAATACAATGCTACATACATTTCCATTTTTAACAGCCTTTTTCTACATTTTTGTCTGTATCATTATTAACATTTTGCAACTGTTGATCTTTCAATCTTTCCGGTAACCAGTAATCCCATGACATCAATAATATAATCATTAAAGTTTGGTATTACGTATACAAGAGAGCACATTTGCTACTAAAAACAATAGACCTCAAGTGTGCAACAGTAAACATGTAAACACCTATAGTGTCTCTTTGACACATTCCCCATTTTCATTCTCAATTTAATGATTACGTGACAGACGTCCCTATTCATAAATTATGGTTAACACTAGTACAGTGTAAAATACTCTGTTCAAATAGAATATTTGAATTGTTTGAATACACATATAGTTCAGAATTGACACAATTGTTTTCTGAGAAAACTCCATTCAAAAAATCATCGAAAGTATGAAATAATAGTATATTCTCAGCATACTCTAAATAGATATAAGAAGATGTGGTATGAGTGCCAATGAGACAACTCTCCTTCGAAGTCATAATTTGTATAAATAAACCATTATAGGTCAAATTACGGTCAAAAGTATACAAAGAGTTTGATATACCATATAGTTATATAGTATCTAAGTTTGTCGTGTGTTTCGAGAAAGAATTATCATTGTTAATATTTACACTTGTGCATCAGTAACATATTTCATATCAGGGTAATATACAATTCTAAAATGACTTCTTCACAAGCAGCTAAAATCCTACAAAATGTTTTTAAAACAAATGAATTTCCCAGGAAAATATATCGTTATTTTTGTTGATTCTACCTGTTCTAAGAGTATGAAGATGGTTGTTGTTCTTGTTTAATTCGTGTTTTGGTATTCTCTTATGAAGAAGAATTAAGTATTTAGGCTGCCTGTTTTTTTTCGTTTCTTTGACAGAGCAATATAATGTATCAACGGTGGAATGAGAGATCACGAAAATTAAAATAATGAAGTACTCTAACATGTCTAATGTGCTACAAGAAATGCGTACCACTCGGGGACACCTGAGATTCATTTATTTTGCTTAAACTTGATCATGTCGATATTGCTTTAGTTTTGAGGTTAGTACCTTTTTCTTTGCCATATGTCTGTGTCGTTTCAACCGGTAACAGTATTGTTTATACTTTGTCCTGCAAATCATGTTTCAATTGAAACATTTCACATTAGGTCAATTTGATCTTTGATTTACTGACTTGATGTTATTTTAGGGTTAATTCAGATTTATATATAGATAAGACCGTCAGTATTCCCGTTTGAATGGTTTTACACTAGTAATTTTGAAGCACTTTATGACTTACTGTTTGCTGTGAGCCAAAGCTTCGTGTTGAAGACCATACTCTGACCTATAATAGTTTTCTTTTACAAATTGTGACTTGTCTCATTGGCACTCATACCACATCTTCTTATATCTAATTAATTACCGATCGCTATTGCGTGATGCTTAATCATATATTACACTCATATCAATTATCAACGTATTCTAAACGTGTAACACGACCCGAAATCACATTATCTGCTTACCTTTCCGGAGCACACATGTCGGTGTTTGGTAGGGTTCGTGTTGCTCAGTTTACAATTTAAATTACGGTGCTTTGTTGCTTTCACCTGTGGATTTATCGTTTAATTGTATTACGTTTGTTATGTCAGTGTATGTATAATCTGCTATACAGTTTTGGAATTTTATCATTGTTGGCGGTCGTTTGGTGACCTTTAGTTACTAACGTGTATGATATTTTGTCTCTGTTTGCAGAATATTTTTATGACAATCCTACAACATCTTCGTATTTTTTGATTTATTTTTCTTCCGATGTATATCGTTTTTGACGCAATGGCGTTGTAAATGTTTCTTTGAGGAAGGAGTTTTGGATGTCCTTTGGTATCTTTTGTCATTTTCTGTTATATTTTTCGTCTTTTGCTATTGCTTGTAGTTATGATACATTTTATATTCGCTGTAACTGGTGTCTCATTTGGGTCTTATATAAATATACCTGAAACAATTTGTATCGTAACTGCTATCGCAATCACAGCTAAAATTGCTAGCATTTCATTCATAGTCCACCAACTTCATTTTATCTGTATAAAAAAAACCAAGAATAAATGTTCAATTCTTGCAACAGGTAATTCATTGAGATATACACAACTTAGAGAAATACAGATAGTGTTCATTAAGTCTTTGAGTTGAGTTCTTGCTATTTTAAATACACAAATAACTCTTAAAACCGTTTTTGATTTATGTTCATACTATAACAACTGTCTTTCAAGCTTTTGTGATTCCAGGAGCGGATCCATGGTAGAGACAGTGGTGAGTGAAGAGAGGCTTAATCATTTTGAAGGATTTTATGCAACATTTAAATAAAAAAATCGTATCACACTAATAGCAAGCAATCAAATGTGCCATTACATTGTTTTGTTAAATACTCATTGCATTAATAATAAAGTGTGTAAAGAAAGAATAATTCTGAAAGTGAAAACGATGATAAAGAATATGTTTAACCAAGTCAATATATAATATTGTTTCAAATAAATGTTTGAAGCATGATACTGTTTAAATTGATGACGGGTTCACTAAAAAAAAGAAACCACACATGCACTATATAACATAACACTGTGAATCCATCATATAATACTTGTAACAGATCATAATTCTATTACGTGTATGGCAGTTTTGAAAATCAAGATAAGCGCCTGCAAAATATCAAAAAAATATACATGCGTATACACGTAAATCAAGTTTTTTCGTCATTATGGTTGACACTTTACCTTTTTTGTTGCTCTTTTTATCCTCAAATAATTTATTTGTTATATCAAATGAATGCAGGTTCAAATTAGAATTTAATTTTCATTGTTGTCATATATCTACATATCGTTGAATTATTTCCGTATTGTGGCACATTTAACTTGTAACACTTCATTACCAGCACAATTTCCGTAGTTGTATAAATGTATATAAATATATATGGAAACATTTTCAACGATGAGTTGTGTTCAAGTTCAAACTCAATAAAAAAGGAAATAAAAAGTTGTAATTAAGTTAAATTAAACAATCTTGAAAATTGGAATGTCACAGACAAAGGTTGTTGTTTAATCAAAAGACGTAATTATAGTAGGAAACGGGTTAATATAAGCTAACAGCTTGTTTCTGGATCCTATTAATTATTCACTTGCATAAATATGTAAATGCCAATTTGTGAACATTACTTAACATGAATGTAATTAATAAAATATGTTTCCACTAATCAAAATACGTCACTCCTGAGATAACTTTAGGTAATGATGATACTGATAATTTGAATACATTTTTAATTATTGATAAGTACTTTTTTTTTATCATATAAACATAAACATAAGGAAATAAGGACTGCCAATTGGACAACTATCCACCAAAGATCAAATGAAGTTGATGGAAGCAATTAAAATCCAAAAACAATGAGAAAAACACATTAATTCATACTTTTAGAGAAACATATTGATCTAAAAGTCTTAATTCATGTATCCTTTTAATAAACATAGAACATTAGCAACAGCAACTTTAAAATTTGTGATAAATATTATAATTGACCGATGACACAAGCGATTTCTTTAAAACAGTTTATGTGAGACAATTTAGGTATGTAATGTTCATTAGTATTTTAAATTGATAGTCAACACAGCTAATCGAATGCAACTGTACGAATATACTCTTCAGATTGATGCTGATGCATAACCTGATGTTCAGTGGTTACCGTTTGTTGATGAATGTTTATAAATGTTTCACGTTTGTTTCTCGTTTTTTTCATATAGATTAGGCCGTGGGATTTCCTGTTTGAATGGTTTTAAATAGTCTAGTAATTGTTGTGCCTTTATAGCTTGCTATTCGGAATGAGCCAAGGCTCCGTGTTGAAGACCATACTTTGACCTATAATGGTTTACTTTGATCTTATTATTTTCATATTACACCTCATAAGAATTACCATGAGGAGACCCTCTTCGATGGAACATTATGTTGTACCGATAAGGTGTCTTATTCCACAAGAGTTATCCGTGAACCCTATGATAAATTAGTTTCTGGTCTTATCATTTCTAAAACTACATAATTGCTTGATACAAACACATGATTACAATTATTCTAGATTTCAAATATCAATCATTAACTGTTCTAAATGATAAGGTGGGGATTTCTCAAGTGAAAATTAAAGTCTGAATTTTCCTTTCTTAAAGTTATGATTAATGGCAGTCATCCTCAAACTTTTGAAATTAAATGGTGCATGGCTGCTAGAATTATAAGTCTCAAGGAAAACCTCAGCCACTACACTCTTATACTAACAACATTAATGTTATGGTTTAGTACTAGTAATATGAAGGAAAAAAAAAGATGACTCACACTATTTCCCGAATTATGATGAATTACTTCGCAATGTTATTGAGTGAAGACCTATGAATTATAAGTATATTTCTTTGTATTGTTTGTTTGTTTGTTTTTTTTTTTTGGTTTAAACTATGTTTTATAAAATACTTTTATGATTATAAGTATATTATTTTCCTTTGATATTGTATTGCATTGTATTGTTTGTTTAGTGTTTTTGTTTAAATTATGTTTTATAATATACTTTTCTGATTCCAATTCTTTTATAATTGTTTTGTTTCTGTGCTGCATTTGACAGAGGTGACCAACACTTATATGTTTACATGTAATGATTTATATCAGAGTTTATAAACATAAAAAAAACGTTCGGAAAATATTGCAGACATCAACGAAATTCACTGCAGAAAAAAGGAGAACCATGGTCCATTTTCGCTGAACTAGTATACATTATTATTTTGGAGCCAGCTAAAACCCGCTTCCATTGTGCGATATTGTGTCGCTGTGTTGATGACCTATTGCTGGACTTCTGTTGCTTTTTGCTCTTTGGTCGTGCTATTGTCTCTTGAAATACGCAGCTACGTGCAGTCGATTTTGTTAGAAGAACCAGTATATTGTGTAGTGAAGGTGTCATGCTGTAATCGCGATAATGGATCATTCTAACTACTTTTGAGTGTTCCAAAGATATCCTGTTGTACGAATTAATTTATGTCCCTATCCAACGAGCCCTGATATTCTAGTGGCAGTCTAAATTTGCTTTAACTTCATTCCGACCAACCTACCATACAGATATATAAAAAAGAAGATGTGTATGATTGCCAATGAGACAGCTTTTCTTAAGAGACCAAAATCACACAGAAATTAACAACTATAGGTCACCGTACGGCCTTTAACGATGAGAAGATCTAATACCTCATCTAATGCATCTACTATTTAAGGTCTGAATATTCATTTGATATTTGCCACTAGACATTGAACAGACTATCATTTTTCAGTTGTCTATCGATTGCGCTTGACACTTCAAATACTGCACAAAAAAGGTGAAAGTATAAACGTGTTACTGATATGAATGAGGAAATGAATAATTCAAAACGTTTTTTCATCAGTTTCTTCTAGTTTCTATATTACTTTTGCGTACTGGTCTGTTTACTTCCGCGTCATTATCAAACAATGGTGTCATGAAAATTTTGGGAAATTTATTTCTTGGTTTTTGTGTTCTTTAATCTGCTCTGATTCGGTCGACATTGACGAGTACCATGATGAAGAAATGTTCGTCTGTCGTAAGAAATTATAAACCTGACATTTTTTTTTTATACACTTTGTGTTTTCTAGGACAATAAACTTCGTTGAAAGACAAGTGACAATGCATAATGCAAGCTCTGAATATACCAGATTATTTGTATTTTATAAAAGTTGACTGCGATATTAAAACAAATACATGTTCGAAAAGACAAATATATTAAGGATGTCAAACTTAAGGATGTCCTTAGGAGACATTTAGAAAATTAAGAATTTGAGATTCATTCTCTGTAAGCATAAAAAAATTTCTGGTAAAGGGTGGGAAAATGAGGATCTCAAATTTCAATGAAACTTGATACTTAATACTCATATGTCACCCTTGTTTGTTATTTAGTGTACGATTGATACATGGAGTTGCCGTTGCCATGGATACCATACATTACAATACTTTTCTCATTCTCAAATCCGAGTTTCTTTTAGAGTTGGTTAAAATGGGTTGAACATATATAAAATTCAGTAAATTTCTTTGGCTAAAGACCAGATTCAGTTAAAATTATATTTTGTGTTGATATCATTTACATCGTCAGAACACTCTTCTGTAGTGCAGTTTGTGTTGTAATTGCAAAACAGTTTGTGTGTTTGCTGCTAAAGCTACTTTCATTTTCAACATAAACACAAAAGAGGTGTACTAAGCGAGATAACTGTAGCAGAATTTTGCACTCCTGATAGTAAATTTCTGTATGATCAAGGTTCATTTTTTTTCTTATTTGAAATTAAACATATCTTTTTTTTGGCATATAAAAACTATTAATGGAAACTTTGTTAATTCTAAGGTGCAATTTGAAGAAACACCAAGTTGGATTTTTAAGGTTTCTACTGAAAATTATCTAAAAATGAATTGTATGATAACCATGGCAATGAACATAACCGTTTTTTTTTATTATGACCATTATGTTTCTACATGACTAAGCATTCATTTAAAAAAAAAATATGAAAATCTGTGACCACAGGTTTCCATCATACTTTGATGCTTACAGAGAATGGCTCTCAAGATTGATACTATAACTAGGAAGAGCATTAGTTAAGGAACAAAACAAGCTAAAAATGTTGTGGAGCTTTTTTTTCCGAGTTATTTGATTTTTAAAAAATGGCGGGAAAAGGTTGACTTGGACTTTTACCTCATATCTCATTGGTATTATTTTGGTCTTAAAACGAAAGAACAGAAATATAGATTCTGCTTACATTTTGGTAAATAGCCTTTTATGAGCTATTTAGTCTGATATGAAAAGATAAATGGGTGATATGGGGCAAAATCTGTTACCTTGTATCATAAGGAAAATGTAGTCTATGTAATATTTAGCTCGATGTTTATCAATAAACCTGATCGTAGTTTTCTTTAAATTAACAAACACATCTTTTAACTAGCAGATAATTGTATTATAATTTAAGCTTGGCCTCTACTAAACGTAGAATTTTAATGTGTTGTCTGAGGTAAAG